ACCATACCTGTATTTACAACCACGAATGCCGTTTTTATGGCGTATTTGCATACGATGTATCTATTCAGACTATTTGTATATTATGACAATATTTTAATATTATAAATTATAATATTGATTGCATAATAAATAATTAAAAACTACACTGTTCGATCGAATTTAAACGATATTGTACACATTCGAGATGATAATATTATTTATTATATGGCTTGCAAAACTCGCACGCCATTTTCAATTGGATACTATAGATGTGCATATTATACGTAATATACACACATCACTTTCAGGGACGCAATAATGCGCACACACAAACACACACACATACACGCTGAGAGGACTTTTATATTTAATTACAATCATATGTCATTATATAATATATTGTATTATTATTAAATGTACGCAAATGCATTATTTCATAACCACAGCATTTATGAATAATTTGCCGATAATGGCTGACAACTGTAGTTTACGTGGACTGACAGTCGGCTGTGGCGCCACATAATAATATAATATTATGATACATTATTATTATTTTACTTATTGTATACTATTTGTATATATATTATTGTATATAATATAATTTGTGTAAAAGTAGAGTCAGTTTTATTCATTTAATCTGTATGGTGTATGTACGAGAATATAATATATTATACAGTGTTGCCGTGATATATAGGTATAGAATACGTCTAAAATAGAATTGTGTATTAAAATTGATTGTAAATATAAAATAGGTAGTAATGTTTAAAAATTATACACAAGGAAATAGAGTATATAATTTTCTATTTTAGTTCAATCTGATATGCCTGATATTGGGTGAAACATATATACGATGACCCCGGTATTTATCGTATAGTTTAATAATTTTAATATACCTACATCCGTAATATTATCACGCCTTTGAGGTTTAAATAATGTCTAAAAATAATGCTATGCCAGAGTATCAGATTTAAATTATATATTATTATATTTAGTTTAAAAAATAAAATTATTTTTCGAAATTATTTCCTATAATTGGTTACAACATATTATATCGAATATTCTAATGATTACTAGATTACGACGACTAATAATCATTTAAATGGGCAATAAATTATCGTACCTCATACAAATACAGTAGGTATTATAAAAATTATTATAATTAGTTTTGGTTATTACGAGAGGGTGAGCTGATATATTGTTATTTTACTGTCATTATCTGTATTAAATATTAGGTACGTGCTACGCATCACAATCATAATAAAAGACAATCAGACAGTATAACTAAAGGAATTGTGGTGGGGGATATTGTCAATGTTTTTTTTTCAAAATAAAAACACAATAATTGAAATTGGTGCGTTTTTATATTTATATTCAAATTAGATATACTTCAAGAATTAATTATACTAACGATAGTACAAAATAATAACAAATTTCAGTAAAATAATTATTGAATAACCAATAGTTAATTATTCTACATAGATATTTATTAAGTTTCTCAATATTAGATTATAATGAAGATGAATTTATTCTATTAAATATTTGAATATTTTTCTAAACGCTTCACCAGGGTTAAAATTTCCTCTTGCATGATTATTATACATTGATAAACATGATTATGCTATCTAAAAATAACAATTTATTAGTTATTTTATTAAATTTAAAACATTAAGATTTTTAATATAAAAATAAAATAATCAAAACAAAATGTAAATAAAATATTGAAATTAATGTATACTAAGTTAAAAAATGTAAATAATATCTGCATAAATCTGAAACGTATGTATTTTAGTGTTAAAAGTTTGATATACATTATATATTATTATCACTCACGTAACTTTAGTTTCAACGTAACCTTGACCTAAAAATATATCACATAATAAATTATACAGACAATAATTAAATCTAATGTATAATTTTGTACATTATTGACTATTATACAAAAGTTTGTTAACATTTATATTTTCGTCAAGCATAAATTATTAGTGACGTATAATTTTTGTACGGATATTATGTACATTACGAATATACTATTTCGTATTATACAGTATACACACTATACACCACTTTTATAATAATATTCCGGCTAGCAGCAGGTTAGGTTACGAGTAGTTGTGTATATAACTATATAAGTTAAATATAGCCACTATCAATAAATACAAAAACCTGTGGGTTCGTGTAAATATTTTAGAAAACCTTTAACGTCAAAAGGGCGTGCCCAGATTATATTTTATATAGGTACATTAATATTATTTAATATTTTTAAATGTGCGTAAAATACGAAACCGTTAGTAAATAATCCAAAAGATTATAAAGGGTTGACGACAACAAACTACAAAGAGACACTCTACATAATAAATATATTTTACATACTAATGGATAAAGACAATGTAATAGTAATAATAATATTGAGACAGCCACAAACGGTATTTTATTTAATGTGCTGCTTGATGTTTAAAATAGTTAGAATTAATAAGAGTACAAAAGGAATCTTTTTACAGAGACGATATTATGAAACAACCAGAGAGATGTAAAAAGAAGATTAAATGTTATAACTACGAGATATGGAATTTTTTTAGCTATGTGGTTTATATTGTGCGTTATTTGGAATTTTTAACTGTACGCAGGCGGCCACACACACAGGCATTTTTATCAACGAAAAAGTTTTATTAAAAACACCATCCCATTGCGGTATTGAAACGTAAAAGTAAACTATACAATATTATCATTTATCATTTATCATCATATCGGTTGATGAATATTACGACACTATATGCATGTTCAAATGTGCGACTGTTTACACGTTTTTAAGTTTTTGACCTCTGTCTTGCACTCTTGCTGTAGTGAGCTTCAATTGTCTCAATTATTAACGCTGTGAAGTATGAATTCATTATCGTTACAGTTACCGGGTGCAAAACCGTACAAATCGACACGTCGCAACTCGTAATTTAGTGACTGCGTTGGCGCCGGGGTGGGCCATTCAATGTCTCGGTACTAAAACTGACCCGTTCGACCGTCCCTATGATTATTAATAAATTATTATAAATGATTAGAAAAAGTATTTTTATATTAAATATAAACGACATCAATATCGTTTTACAGTATATTGATATAAAAATAATATCAGTTAGCGAAAACGTAAAAGACATTATTTGCAGTATTTGCACAGAGTTTATATACGTTTTTTTATTTCTGAACTATAAATATTAATTAAATTTATATTTGATATTCAGCGGACATTCTTCACGTGTTTCGTATGATGGGGATACATTTTCATTACTGGTATATTGTTACCACTTTTAGCAGTTATCATAACATAATATTATAATAATACCTTTGTCCTTTTTAATAAAATAATACTTATTAATTTTTGTTTAATTTTTTTTAAAGGAATAATAATGGCGTTTTATGCCAGAAGTTGCATATGCTTGACACATCGGCACCACCCACTTCTGAAAGTGTTTATCGAATTATTTTTGTAGTTCACATAGGCTACTAACCACACCTGTGATGTATAATACGCTGTGGAGTTGAGAGAAAAATTATGATTTCGCTGAAATAAAAATGCATTAAATCGGTTGAAATATGTTATTAACAGCTTAATGATATGAACTAATAATTAAATACTATGAATTGTAATATATGATTGGTTCGTATCGCTCAAGGTCACTTTATTATCAAAACTAAGACCGGAACCGGGGACACTGTACAATATCGTTTCCAATTCCTAAATAATTAGCTCGTAATAATTGTAACAACAATGGTATAAAGTTATAGTTGCATAACAATAATACTTTCTTCCTTTTGGATATTTATTTTTTTGGAATTCACTATTTGAATATGAATATGAAAAAGAGCAAATATGAAGATGAAGATGTTTACGATATAAAAAAATAAAAAAATAAAGGAACATGTTTCACAGAATGAAGAAACCTCCAATTTGAAGACCTTTGACACGTTGACGTATTTTGGATTAATTTGTGTTATACGAACCACGGCCGAAAACTCTCATCCATTGAAACAGGAGGAGCAAATTCATTATCGTGTTTTCCCAAGACTGTTTAATTTTTATGTTCGTATCCAATTCGTATTCGCTACCGTCTATTCCGTAGGTACCATAAAAAAAGGACAAAAACAAAAGCATGAGATACACGAATAACTTTACTTGATCAACGTGTACGAAAGCTGAGTATTTTGTACGTTATATTATTTATATTATTACGTCGTAGTTAGGATGGGCGTTTGTTTTCGTAATTATTTAAATTTTCTCTTTTTCCGGCCCACCTGAAATCGCTGAAATACACAACCAGCGATCGGAGTCTGGGTTATTCAGCGAGATTTTCGAAATAATTACAATTAATTATAAATCATAATAATAATATCGTACGTACGAGGCGTACGCACGCTCAAACTCGACGAAATCCAAAGCTGTGCCGCCGCCACCGCTATTCGTTTCCGTCCGTTCTCTCCCCGTGCACATTTTACCGTATCATTAATATTATTAAATATACAGAGTGGGTAATTACAAGATACGCGTAACGTGTATTAAAAGTTGTATTCTAATAATAAACGGCTGCTCGGGCGATCGGGTCAATCTCGTGGCCGCCGTACAATAATAATATTGTCCTTGACAACCCAGTTTATACCCCGAACCAAAACCGAACAGTAAACGCTACGTTATAATATTATTGTTATTATTATTATTATTATTATTATTATCGAATCGACGCGGGCTCACATTTATTTTATAAATAATAATATAATATTATTAGGTACACATTATTGTTGTTATTATTATTATTTATTTATTTTTTTTTTTTTTGAACACAACACGTCGTCGTGTTTCGCCGCTGCGACCGTGTAATAATATTATGGTCCGGCCTACACTCTTCGCGCGGAAGGTCATGGTTTCTCGCGCCGGCGACGGCGGTCCACGGTTGTTCGACGTCGGCGTAACGGCAGCACTGTCGATTACCGCCGCCGCCGCCGCTGCCGGCAGTGTGCCTGGCTGCCACCTCGTCGAGGTCGTCCGCACTCCACCGGCCCGCTTCACGGTGTGCGCACTCCGAACGAACGTCGTCGTCGTCGCCGCCACCGACTGCTGCGTCGTAGCGTTGTAGTGTCGTCCTCGTGACTTTTCCCCCGCGCGCGTTTTTCGTTGCGTCGCCGTCGCATATCGTCGGTTACTCAGTTCAGTTGCGTCGCAATTAGTGTGCACTTGCGACGCTCGCGTTCCGTAGCGCATATCTGTCTGGCGTGAGTCCGCGATTTAATAATATTGTTAAAATAATGTGTACATGTATGCAGTTGAACATATTTTAAAAACACATACACCGAGTTTTAATATATTATGTACGATGTGTATATAACCATTATCTCTTTCGTGTGTTTGAACAATTGAAACGATTTTTTTTTTTTTTTTTCAGTACGTTTTTAATTTTTTCACCGTAAATATCTGTTTCGCCTCTGTTTACACTCTATCGGCGTTGGGTTTTATAACACGTTAACCGGTTTCACGTGTAAGTTTTTTTTTTCTTTTTTAAGCACAAGTGCGTACTCTGTCTGTCGTATTTAAAAGGAGAAAATAAATTAACGTTCGTCTCTTGAAAGCCATGGAATACGGTTTGGAACCGTTGCAGAGGGCTAGATCCAACACTTGGCCCTTGCCCAGACCGGATGCCGAAGACGGCGGGCCACAGTTGCCCGAGGGCAGTCCCCCGCAGTTGTTGGACATTGTCGCTGACGTGGGTGGCAGCGTAGGAGGAAACGGCGGTGGCGATGGTATCGTTGGCGGCGTACCGTCGTCTAGTAACGGTCTGCACCCGCCACAGCAGCAGCAGGGTGGTGGCATGGTCACTGGGCCGGTCAAGAAGACGTCAAGTCGACGGAACGCCTGGGGTAATCAGTCGTACGCGGATCTCATCACGCAGGCTATTAGTTCGGTGCCGGAACAGCGGCTCACGTTGTCCCAGATCTATGAGTGGATGGTGCAGAACGTACCGTATTTCAAGGACAAGGGCGACAGCAACAGTTCTGCCGGATGGAAGGTAAGACGGTGATTCCTCTCCGTAGAATTACAGTATTAACATTACAACAATTATAACAATGTATCCACCCACTGGAGCTGTCTCGGTGTAACATGATAATAATTCATTAATCAAGTACCTACCTACTATACGACCCGATTTTTTTTCTGATCCCACCCTTCATTATCACCAACACCACATCGGAACGTTTTAAATATATTCGTTTTAAAGAACTCCAAATGTAGAGTGGCAATAGCCAATAGGTACTTATTAATAATTCCGAGAATAATCAACTTTGGGTCAGTGTCCTGTGCGTATCAGGACAAAAGATCGTTGTGGGGTTTACTACGGTGTGGCGGGTGAAGCGTCGTCGCCGGGGTCCGTGTACCCCCACACACCTGTATACCGCGTACACGTGAGACCGTCGCGCGTCGGGTTGCTAGTGAAATCGGATCGGACGGAATACACCGAACGCATTATATTATATTATAATAATATATTAGGTATTCTAAAGTGTATGCGCACGCGGAGAATTTTATTGTGACCTCCACCGCAGCGTGCGTACTATGGTAGAGGTCACCCGTCAACGAACCGCGTTTTGGCGCCCGCGTAATCGATGCTAATTTATGGACCAAACGCGACAGCGGAGCACGTGGTGGAGTGGGCAACGACTGCACACTGCGTCGGTTGGTGGCGGAAAAGAATCGAAATACGAAAAAAATCCGAGGATCGCGCGTGTACGAGATAACGGGCCGAACAATGTGATACAACGAACCCGTAACTCGGGCGAGAGCCGATTTTCGGCGGAGTTTGATGACGGGTTAGTTGTTGGGTGGGGGTAGGTGGCTTGTAAAAAAATGGTATCATCTCCCCGGTTCAAAGAGTACGCGCGGACGTACGCTCCCGCGCAATATCAAACTTACACGCACGAGCAGTCAGTCTCACTCAAACAAACACTGATAAGAAGGAGACCTGCGGCAATGGCAGAGGTGTGTGTGTGTGTGTGAGTGTATACCTTAATAATGTACGAGAAAACGAGCGTTGCTTAATTAAAAATACTAAAATTGTAGGGAACGTAGTACTCTCCTACCCATATCTACACTGTACACTGACCAGAGAGGAGATAATCGTGTCAGTATATCCGATAACACGGACCGTGGTGTTTCACGGGTGAAAGGGTCATCTCGGATAAGTACGATTGGATTTTATTCTTCTTTCCGTTTCTCTCCGCCTACCCTGATAATTCGTCGTCGTCGTTTTGGTTATTATTATTATTATTTTCCGAAGGTACTACGTAGATCATAATGATATACGCCTTCTCGTGCGTTATTTTTCCCGACACGAACGCGCGAAATAATAATATTATTATTATTATGCGCACACGACCGTGTTTCCGTGAGCATCTCGTCATCTTTCCGTTTGGTGTAGCCAAGCACACGTCAAACGCCACTTCAAACGTTGCCATGTTCCTAATAGGTTTCTTGCGTTTTGCGAGTAGTGCAATAATTTTATTTTATTATTATGCTCTTGACAGTAATTATTGACATTAAGAAAATCCTATTTATCTCGAAAACATAAATGTCTAAACAGATTAGGAATATAAAATTAATAATTACCGCAATGTTTAATCAATCGTTCGTAGTTATTTTTTTTTTTTTTTTGTAAGCGTTGTGCCGCGAATGCCGACTGTTCGGTATTGAGGATTTATTAATGTACTCTGAATAGACTTGAGGCACGCGTAAAGCGATAAAAACCACCCGGAGTGATATCTTATCTCATTCTGCTCACGAGCCATAAGCAGTGATGAAGTTTGAAAACGACTTGAAATCGTCGGCACACCCAATTAGACAAGGCAATTCGAATTTGCTTTACTAAATTGTTTCGATTTCATCTTCTCCGTAATCATTCAAGGTTGGAGATTGTAGTTTGTATTAACGAAGAATTAGATATTGAAAAATTTAAGAAAAATCAATACATAATATAACAATTAATATTGTATATTAGTTTTATTTAATGGCAGATCAGTAAATTAAACATCGAACTACCTGCGGACTACAATCACATTAATTATTTATTTGCATATTATATTCCCTCGCGATATTAGAATTTTGAACTGATACGATTATATGACTTTAAATGTGTTGTAATAATTACATAAAAGAATAAATCCACAAAGATTTATAATACTCATTGAAACCTATTATTTAGGCATACATATTCGTTTTAATTTCAACACGTCTATGCGATTAATTGAATTAAATTTAATATTAAACATCTTTGAATTTACTAAATGTAATCTGTATCTATCTTTTATAATTTAATATTTAATATTTCATGTAAAAAGTGTCTTTTTTTCTGTGATTTTTTGGTTGCTGTGAGGTGATATTATTAATAATTTGAACACTTAAATTTATATACTTTGACTAAGTTAACCATACGTATAATCGTGTAATAGTGTATATTTTTTAATCGAAGTTTGAATTTTTGGTTTAATTAAGTATAGTAATTATATAATAAATACGATTTTAATTTAATAACTATTTAACATCTTACATTAGTAATATATTTTTAATATTGATCTGTTTTTTCTATTCAGGCGTTGACTACAGTACTCCATGTCCTTTTTATATTTTACTTGTATATATAAATATCTACAAATCAAAGTTAGTGGGTACAGATATGTTATGGGCAGTTATCATAATCTTTTAACTAGTGAAAAATATTGAAAATTATCCTTAAAATTAAAAATGTAAGCCCTTAATAAATATTCTATCCTATATTTTTAATATTTTTTATCCCAGTCCGCACCTGTCCGTGTAAACTAATATGGTACGTATACTCGTATCGAACATACAGACTTGACACTATTTCTTAAAATATTTTATCAAGTAAGTTTTTATTTATCTGACAAGTGTTAAATGGAAGAAATGCAAAAGTCTGTTACAGACATCGGTATTGTCTTGACAGATAAATACTTAGAGTATATGAAAACAATTTCGTAACTGTCAACAATATATATTACATAAAATCAGTTTAAATTATCACATAATGTTGAATTTTTAGTAATGGTATTATATACTATATAGCATTATAGCCTGTACTTTGGCATGTGCCCTCTGGTTGCAGTGTGCGACCCGTGTCAGCTGTTCATCTCGTGCTATACACGTTATCAGTCGTCAGCGTCAGTGATAAATTAATGTTGTATACCATTTTCGTGATCGTTCAAATTAACTACTGACATTACCGATTTGACTTGATCTAGAAAATAATTACGATTAAATGAGTGAACTTGTTGAATACAGTATGACTGATGAATGATGATTGTGTATAGGTTAGTTACATTTTACATATTATCTGATGCTTTTAAGGAATCCGGTTTTAAATTATGTTAATCTTAGAAACTCTGGTTCTATAAATAATAATATATAAAGCCAACTTTCCCCACTCCGTTTTAGGCTTGGATGTTTTCTTTCCAATAATTAATAATGCCGCAACTTACTTTTTGAAAAATTGATAGCGGTAGAATGTGCTGATCTATGGTCAGGTTTTCGGTAAAGATCAACCATAATATTAATTTAAGAAATGTGCTGTATAATATTTTTTGAATTGTCCAATGTATTATAATACTTAATATTTCTAAAATAAAAAGTGTTATTCGTGCTTTTATGAAGTCAAGTATAATATTATGTCGATAAAGGTATCCTAAGATATTTTCGTGGATTTGCCTTATCTTTTTATTAACATACCAATTTATAGCATAGGTATTCAGTAATATTACATACTGAATTTAAAACTCAGGTACTAAACGACACGTAAATGTGGATTTTGGTATGTATATGTTTGATTTACTGGGCGTTTTATCTATATTATCATGGGTAATCCTTTTGATTGTTGTCCAATTATATTTTAGCTAGTAAAGCACAAATACCGTTTTTTTTTTTTTTTTACAATAAGTATAAAAAAACACCCACGGATATATTTCTAATCTTTGTCGGTGATACTCAATTAAGTATGTTAATATTAGATGGTATACACACACCGTTATCTAAATACTACGGCGTCTTGTGTTTGTTACGCTTTTGTCTTTCGCTATCCATTAAATTCCATACCGTTGTTTGCCAATAATCACAATTATATTATAACGCTGTAGATCTAGTATACGCGCTCCACATAAAACTAATATAGTTAGTAGGAAGTTATGATCAGGTATTAAATAAACATAATACGTCACCTAACTGTCTGTTATAGGCGTTATAGCAAGGTTTTACTTTTCGAATATAATTATTTTATACAATATTCGTGATATAAATTCTATGTACATATATATATATATACAAAGTGTTGTTGATATGTATAAAATGATTGTTTCGGTATTCGTATTCCTGCATGTAACTTGTGAATATTATAGCTGACGGCGTGCGTACAGGTACCACCAATATTCTTGCCCTCACGTGCCAGTCTCTAATAACACCGCGTTTTGTCCGGCCGGAGTGATATGAAAACCCATTCAAGACTGGTTTTCTCGCACTATTATAATATACGTACTCAAGGACGGCCGTTGGCCACGCCAAAATGGTTTGATCGAAAATTCTCGTGAATTTAACGATGGCGAAACCGGAGGCGACGACCGTTGTGGTTATTTGGAAAACTGATGGGTAATGGAAAATCGTGAACAATAAACTAACAGAAAAGATATTGAAGTTTAAAATCTAAGAACTTGAACATTTTAAAGGTGATGATCGTCTTAGGCAACCCGTCAAGGTGGGATGCACATTGTCACTTTTGTACACAGGTTTCTTAAATATTACCGGTTTAATATGTTTCTGTGGTCATTATTTAGAAATTATAATTTATTGTATTAAAAATATTTTAATTTTTGATAGTTATAGAACATCTTTGTAAAATAACGCGTAACACGCTACTAAAGACGATCTTAGTATAGCATCATTTCAAATATGATTTATGATATACAATTAATATCAAGTATTTTTGTTTATGGTCATCAGTTCATTTATAAATCG